CCTGACTAGATGGAAACGATATACGTGGAGATATATATCGATACACACGGTCACGTATACCATCATATAAAGTGGAGCTTAAAGCATTGACTAATTCACAACATTTATTAGATATGTCAGCAGAAGTAAGATAATATTTCAATATTCTACTATACTACCATATATTGCTTTATTTAATTCATACATTTTTATGTTGTAATAAGTTTATATTTTATGTACAGTTAAAGAATATAGATTTAAAGTACATACATGGATTAACTCAAAATACAACTACAAATGAGTACATATTAGTTTTGGCTCTAAAAGATTTGATTTTCATGGAATATGTGACAATTGCAACCGATATAATACATCACTAACTTGGTGTGACCCTCAAAAACAACACAAGGATGGACAAGTGATTGAATTAAGAAATTTCAACTTGAGCTACAAACTATGAAGCTGTAATCGAATGGATTCCTTTTAATAAATTAGACAATATTCGAAAGATTGGTAAAAGTTTTTTAGCAACCTGGTCAGGTGGAATGCGATCTGTAGGAGAATGTGAAAGATATACACAGTCGCGTATACCATCGTGCTTAAAACATTAACTATTTCACTAAATTCATTAAATATGTTAAAAGAAGTAAGTTAAAATATTTCAATTGTTATTTTACTATATTATACATTTTATATATTGCTTTATTTTTATTCATAATTTATAAATATTACGTTTACAGATTATGTACAATTAAAGATGAACTCAAAATACAACCACATATAATATATGTTAGTATTTGACGAATTTAGTTCTAAAAAAATAATTATAATAGAAAATGTGCAAATTGCAACCGATATAACACATCAACAGCTTGGTGTCAGGCATGCGACCCTCAGAAATAATACGAGGATGGTGGTGATTCTGGACCTGTATGCCTTCCAGATATCAAAATTTCCAAATATTACTCAAGCACAAATGAGAATTTCTCTTTTGTGAAATCAGCTATGGGCTTTACTCCTATGATATAAGGCATTACTATTATGATGAAGCACGTTTGGGAAAATTTCTCAAAGTTTCACATAATTGTGATCACATTTATACTAAAGGCTTTGGAAATTTGAACGAACTAAAGCTTCTCATAGATGAAATTAAATATTTGGCGATCTATTTTTCTGGTGACACTATGGAGATGTACATTCTAGATGACAAAATAAAACCTTTCTCTAGGATGGTTTTAATAAATACCATAACAGTTCCGATAACAAAAGATCCAACATTTCAAGAAATGTTTAATTTTATTGAAGGCCTAATGGTGATAAATAATTTGATAGCACATAATCTTCAAAAGATTAATTCGATCAATCAATTAGTTGGAGATAAACCATCTACAGTTCTTTCTGTAGATATAAATTTATTTTCTTCACCATAAGGCCAGACCAATTTAATTCGGTGATTTACATTACATTCCTTTGAGGAAGGAATGAATGACTTAGTAAATTTTGATAAAAATTTTTTTAGTCAGAAATTTTTGGAAATAGAAGTTGATAAATATAACCGTAGTCATATTTTATGTTGTAAACGGAAAAATTAGAATTGGTACTCGAAATAAAACCTAACTGAAGTTTCGGAAAGCTCTAATCTGAAACTATTTCAGATTTTTTTAATAAGCTGAAACCCCGAAACTATAATCTGAAATCTCAAAATAAAATCCAAAAACTTTATATATTTAAATTTATTTCGGCAGCTCTGCTCCTGACACTTTTAACTTACTTTTCTAACACCTGTATACTTTATATTCTATACATATTACAACTGTTTTTATAAATTCTGGGACATATGATACAGTGGCGGCCACATGTTTAGCATCACTTAAAAAAATTTTAAATTCATATATCTCCCTGAAGTTGAGTTATTCTGGGATCGATTTTTTTTATTTGAATTATCAATACCAAGAGTGGTCATCACTGGTATATCGCAATTGAATCACATGATCATGTTCGAACTACCTCTGGTGCGCCAACAAAATTTTACATTCACGAGATGATCTAAAACAAACGTCAGTTTTGTCAAAAATCGCTTATTTCTCAAAAATTTACATAAGAAACTGCCTTTTGTTCACTAACTAAAAAAATTCCTTGTGTAATTTTACTATACCCCATTACTCACTAACATTAATTTAAACGCTAACCCTAACATAAAAGTTTTTGGTGATCACGTGACTGTTGGCGCACCTGGGTAAGATTAATGATCATCACTATATCATCTGCCGTAAATCATACTTTATGTAGAGAATTATCTATACCACCTAAGCAAAAGGTAAACATGGCTCGTGAAGATGATGCTAGTAGGGTTAGCATTACATAAATTATATTTTTGCGTTGCATGAAATAACTTTATATTGAATAGTGCATTGCCACATGATAACTGCACCAACGTTATAAAAGTTTTACCAAGATTAATAATTATCCATCATTATGTTCGGAACTGTAATTTTATACTTATTTTTATGCAAGATTTATAAAAGTTTTGACGAAAAATTATTCACATGATCAAAATTACATGTAATTTTGATTTCTGAAATTTTCGCAAATTTACGCAAATACGTAAACTTAGCCAACCCTAGATGTGAGGGCGATGTAAAATTTAAACTGATTATGATCAGAAAGCAGTAATAATGTGTTGAGATAAAGATTGATTAGCTAGATAGAGTAAGATATTTGTAATAATCGAGTAAGAATTATGAAAAAAGAATTAGAGCCACAAAAAAAATTAGTGAACTAGAACTACAAGAAAGTTAAAAAAAAACACCAGAAAGACCACAAGTTAAATCGTGTAAGAATCATAATAAAGCAGTCACGAATCATCGAAAGACTCATTAGTAAAAAATAAAATAAAATAAAATAACATAACATATATATCAATAGAGCCAAAATTCATCACCTGAAGAATCACAAAAGAAGTCAAAGGA